GTGTGTGGGTCCTGGTAGTTGCTTAGCTGTGTGCTGCCGCCCTGAGATGCAGCCCTCTGCCATGTGCACTCTGCCTTATAATCATGCCTAGTATGGATTGAAACCTCCACAAACTGTAAGCGAAATAAACCTTTCCTTCCTTAATTTTGGGCATCAGATATTTTGTCCCAGCAACGAGAGAAAAGTAACCAAGACATGTGGTTACAGGCATGCACTACCAGGACTGGCTCATCACAGGTCTTTTTATAATAGGTAAATCATGTGCATTACATTTTCTTTCTCTGCTAGCTCTATTACTGCTTAAAAGGGTTATAGAATTTTAAATCAGTCATTTTCACTACTGATTATAAACTGTAAAACATCCTAAATTTTTACTTTACATTTTGTCATGTTTTATGAAGTTACTTAAAAGGCCAGTTTTATTTTTACTCTTAGTAAAAGCAAAACAGAATTTTTTAATGAATACAGTTGTTTCCCAGTATCCATGGGGGATTGGCTGCAAGGCTTCCTGCGGATTTTTTAATGGGCAAAAGACCTAAAAAACGCCAAAATCCAAACACACTCAAGTCCCCTATATAAGATGGCAGAGTATTTGTATATAACCTATCTATGTACATGTGCCCGTATACTTTAAATCATCTTTTTGTTACTTGTAAAACCCAGTACAGTGTAAATGCTGTTGTTATACTGTGTTGTTTTTCCTGAATACTTTTGATTGGCAGTTATTTGATTCTGTAGATACAGAGGGCTCATGTATATGTTTAAAAAAGTCTAAAAAAATTTTTTTAGGCTTGTGGTTGTGCATTGGTTTTACCTGTTTATCAGGCTTATTTATTTATATATGTATATAATATACATAACTTTTAGTCTAATAAAATTTCAGAATATTCTGGTGAATAGAGTACTTATAGGGGTGAGAGAAGTCTCCCTTCTGCACCCTGAAGTTTCCCTGAAGTGAACTGACAGTAAACAGATTAGCAGGAGAAAAGGCTCATGAATGTGTTACAGTGTGTGACGGCATCACAGAAGGGTGATTACCGAATAACCCAGTGAGATTTGGAATCATATGCAGTACACTTTTTCATAGGTAGGGGAGGAATGCAGGTAATTTGCGTGTGCAGGTAATAAATGATTTTTTTTTATTTTAAAAATAAAAGAAGGAAAACATTAACACAACCATTTACAAAATAGCAAAAGAACAATACAAACAATACAGAGTTACAGACAAAGTGGTAGGAAGTTAACAATGCTTGTTGTATTATGTATTGATATCTTCAAATTGGTTTCTCAGGAAAACAAATAGAGACATGCAATATTGATCGGTCAAGGAATCATTAACTGTTTCTTTCAGCAAAGATATAGAAGACAGTAGTTCAGCTATGTTAACTATTCTCTATATACAACATACAAAATTTCTCCTTTCCCTTTTCTTTTCCCACATCCCAGTTGCCCTTTACCCTTGAGCGTTTTCCTATCATTTCACAATGTCTATCATACCTCTGAGTTTAAATGAACTCTTTCAGGTTTTATACTAGTGAAACAGTGCGGTGTTTGCACATGCATGTCTGATTTATTTCACTTATGAGTATGGTCTCTAGTTGTGACCATTTACCTAGAAAAGCCTCGAGTTTATCTTTCTTTATAGCTGTGTAATATTCCATTATATAAAAGTGCCACAATTTTTTTATCCAGTCCTCAGTGGATGAACATTTGAGTTCCTTCCACAGTTTAGCAATTACAAATTGTGCTGCCCTGAACATAGGTGCACATATATCACTGTTATATGATGTTTTCAGATCTTCCGGGAAAATACCTAGAAGGGGAATAGCTGGGTTGAATGGGACCTCTAGACCTAGTTTGCTGAGGAGTCTCCAAACTGATTTCCACAGTGGTTTCACCAGTCTGCATTCCCACCAGCTGTGGAGAAGAGTTCCTATTTCTCCACCGCCTCACCAGCATTTGTTATTGGTTGATTTCTTAATGCTAGCCATTCTTACTGGGGTGAGATGAAATCTCAGTGTTGTTTTAATTTGCATTTCTCTAATAACTAATGATGTTGAACATGTTCTCATGTATTTATTTGCCATTTGTATTTCTTTATCTGAGAAGTGTGTGTTCATCTCAGCTGCCCATTTTTGGATTGGGTCTTTGAATTTGGGGGGTACTGATATTTTTTAATTCTTCATATGTTCTAGATAGAAGTCCTTTGTCCAAGGGACAATCAGCTAATAAATGATCTGTAAGGGAGTTGAATGAGTCCAGTAGTTTGTAATTGATTCTGTCTGGAATTTGAATGGATCAAAGAATAGATAGTAGCTTATGACAGGTGCTTAGTATGGTAGCATTCCCTATTCTTCCTTCCTATGATGACTTCACTCTTTCCTGGTAAATGGAATCTCAAGGAAGGGATCAAAGGCAATTGTGTGATTTTTTTTTGCGGGGGGAGGCAGATCCAGTCTCGGTATTTAAGTGAATTTCAGAGAAATACCTCTCCCTGTGCTTGAGGTGCGGAAAAGATAAGGGAAGGCCAGAGAGAACTTGATTCTAAGGCAGCTTCTAAGACCTTCCAGTTTCCTCTAACTCAAGTATTCAGTGTCAAAGCATCATAATTTGGTATGTAATTTTTGAGGTCTAATATAGCCTACAGAAAGTTTTAATTATATTGCCATTAGTGTCTTTTAAATTATTTTAATTCACATATAATAATTGATTTTGATTCCTGTAACTCTTCTTAGTTTATTAATTGTAAAAGATTTTTAGTTTCCTGTTTTTAAGACTATGTTGTCTGAAAACGGGAAAAATTTAACCTTTTCTCTTCCTACTTGTATGCCTTTTTGAAACATTAGAGACAGAGTCTCAGTATGTTGCCCAGGCTGTCCTTGAACTCATGATCCTTCTGCCTCAGCCTCTTGAATAGCTGTGACTTCTGGTGCATCCTTTTGTGCATGCTGCCATGTCTGGCTTTCATATGCCTTTTATTTCTTTCTCTGGATGGGTTCTCTGGCTATGACTTTCAGTATTATATTGAACAGAATGGTAAATGCAGGCACCCTTGTCTTGTTCCAGGTCTTAGACAAAAAAACTTTAAACTTTAACCATGGAGTACAATGTTAGCTGTGTATTTGTCATCTATGACCTTTCAGCATTTCTTACAAGTCAAGTCTGGTTGTTGTTTACTCTCTTGGCTGTTGATTAGGAAAATGTTTTTTTCCCCTGATTCCTTATAATCTTTGTGTCCTTCCATTGTTTTACACATATCCTCCCACCCCCATCCTTTATATGTGTTCTATGGCAGGGGTAGAGCTTTGCTAGTTATCTTTTCTGTGATTTTGGAAGGGCCAACTTACGATGACTTGTTATGCTGAGCTTGTGATGAGTTCTCTAACTGACTGGCCCAGTGGCTTTGCTTAGATGCCAAATGAGACTGCTAGTTGGGCTCTGCCGTCTGGTGAGACCACTGGCTGTGCTGTGCTGTTTGGCAGTCCTGTGATTACTTCTTGTCAGGTTTGTCACAAAATGTATTCCCTGGCCAGGTGATTCTACTATTTAAGATCTGTTAGTGGGCAGGGGTGCAGGTTGATCTCTGTGGTTAGGAGGTGCTGTTCTGGTCAGGTGGATCATACTGTGTTACTTAGAAATGCAGGATTAGGATTCCCATTCTGAGTGGAACCAAGGGATGTGCTTTTGGCTGACTTGAGTGATTATTTGTCCTCCTGGATCAAGAAGTTCTAGGCCCTGTGCTTCTCTAAACAGTATAAAGTTGGGGTTTTCCTGCCTACATGAATTTGTGTGTGTGTGTGTGTGGGGGGGGCTTTTGGCTGAATGGAGCCCCTGCCTTCCTTCCTAGTCAAGGTGGTGCAGCTCTTCACTTTTCTGACATTCATGGAGATGGAAGTCTCCCTACCTGCACAGAGTTGTTGGTAGGCACCTTGACTGTGTGGCTCTGTCTTTGCAGGCCAAGTCATTATAACCTCTTCTCTGAAATCCACGAAGGTGGGAGACTTTGCTTGGGTAAGATCATTGGGGTAATATGGGGGCTGAATGTGGAAATCAGCAGTCTCAGGGCTCGACCGAGATTGTTATTCTCACTCTGCTTCTAAATGTGACTAAGTTTGCAGTTACACTCTTGAGGTTGGCTGTTATCTCTGAGCGCCTGAACTGGCAGGAATACAGAAGTAACACCAAGATTTGTGGGATGTTCACTTCCTTTGTTTCCACCCAACCCCTGGGTAGTCAAGCCATGCTATTTTGCCTAGCATTCTGTGTAAATTGAAACCAGAGTGGGCTTCCTGAGAAGCATCGTAGAATGCTAGGAAAGGAGGATGACTGCCTCTTGTCGCTTTTCTCCTTGTAGAAACTGAGTCTGGGAAATTCCTCTCCATGTGACCATAAGCCCACTTGGGGAAGGGGAGAAGGTGACATAGTTGGAGTAAGACTGTTGCTGTTAGGCTTCTGATTTGGATTTTGTTCAGTTCTGCATACTACTTGGGTGCCTCAGGCTTGTTTTCAGGTTTTAGCTGTTTTACAAAGAATGTTTGGGTCTATGGATAGTTGCTAGTTGAACTTTTTTTTTTTTTTGGTACTGGGAATCGAACTCAGGACCTTGCCCTTGCCAGGCAGGCGCTTATGCCACTGAGCTATATCCCTGGCCCTAGTTGAACTTTTTGTGGAGAGGAATGGGACCTAAGACTTCCTGTTGTGCCATCTTGCTGACATCATAATAAATGTTTCTTTCTTTGGCTCTTTATAATAGATGCTTTCAGTTTCATACTTTATAAACTGGATGAGAATTTCCATAAAATTCTGTGAAATATTTACTGGGGCACTAATAATAACTTTAATGAAAGTTTTGCTATTACTTTTGCAGTGTGTAAAATATAAAAAGCAGTGTTCTTTTACCTTTTATTAGACATATATTCAGGCATGTTTCTTGTTTTATAATACGTAAGTGCCTATTATAAAACGTAATGCGTTGGTTTTGTTTTGTGTTTTTTCTGCAGAGAGCGATAATGAACTTTCAAGTGGAACAGGCGATGTGTCTAAAGATTGTCCCGAGAAAATCCTATATTCATGGGGAGAGTTGCTAGGAAGATGGTAAAAAATTTTTTTCTTACTAAAACCTTTGTATTTACATAGTTCTTAATTTGTTGTGTTAATTAAAATCTCCTTGTTAAAATAAAAGTTAAAAGTAATATCAGTAACTTAAGAGATGAGTGGCGGGCAGGGGGAGAGAAGGGAAAGAGAATAAAAAAAGGAATTAAGATTTGTTGTATGCATGTACCAATTCACACAAGGAAATTCATAAACTAAAATAAATAAAACTAACATTCATGAACAACATTAATACAGCCAAGTAATTACAATAGAATTAGTAGCTGTCTTCATGTTTGGCTGGGTCTTCCCCCAGGTAGTCTTATTTTCAGAAAATACATTTGCCTCATTATTCTGCTCAGACATAACATTAATCAGAGGTGTCAGTTTCGTGCTACATTGCAAACATACTTAAATATCTATTGTTAAAGGGTTACACTTATTTCATTACCATATTTGTTGCCACTAAAAGGGACTGTAGAGTTTAGATCTACTTATTTTGCCAGTAATTGTAACCTGGAACTTAGTCTGTTTTATTGTTTGTGTTTGAATATTAGTTTATTTACATTTGGGAGTATTTTACTTGGAACTATGAAAAGGTACACTGTTTATATTTATTAAAATAAATACTGTTTATGATATTCAAGTTCTTAAAAAGATAACCATGATGCTCATTATGTTGAAATTTTAAAAAATTGTACCAATATTAAGAGGGTGTATGATGTATTACTGACTACATATCAGATTACATGCAGGCAGGTAGTCCAGGAGAGACTCCCATGTTCTGGGGAGAATTTTGTGCATCGGTATAGTAAGGTAGACATCAGAATAGTTAAAACTTAAAAAAAAAATCTTCTGTAGAGATGAATGATGTTCTTTGTGGTAGCTTTTTTATGTATATCCTAAGAGATTCCTTAGTTATGGTTTAGAAAATACAGCCTGGATTTACAGTTCCAAGGTGTTTATTTGATTTCTCATTGTAAGATTTGGAACCTAGTTTTATTAAATTCTAACCAAAGTATTGATCCCATTATTTTTTAAGGAACTATCCTGAGAAAATGGAAGTGTCAGCTGCATTTTCTTTATTAAACAGAAAATTTTACTTACCCTTACTCAAACAAATATAACATGAACACATTTCAAAGAATATGTTTAATTCATTAATTAAGGGAGAACCAGAGAGATGTTGCTACCAATCAAAATGAGGTTTGATATAGAGATTTATGTACTTTACCTGATAGTTCATTTATACCTTCATGAGCAGTAATCATTTGCATACCTGTGGATAGAAAACATTTGCACTGCTGTCGTTTTTCTACATATCATTTCCTACCTGTTGAGAGTTGAAACTAACCTGGTCAAAGAGAAATTACTATTCCAATCAAAAGGAAACCTAACCAAAGACTAGCCTAGTTAAAGACAAATGAATCTAGGCTGTAAAAAATCAATCAGGCTAGGCTTTTCAGAGGGGTTTTGCTGCAGAGAACTAGTTTACACTGTGATAAGACTGGAAGGATAGAAAGAAGACAGTGAAATAACTGAAGTAGTAGAAAGCAGCTATGACCTGTGAAGAAATGAAGTGCAGGAGGTATTGTAACCAGAATCGAGGAACTCATAGAAGATCAAGGAGCTATTACAGGGACTTCTGAGGAGGATTGCACAGTTTGTTGCTTAGATACCTGAGAGTACTCAGATCTGTTAAACTTTAGAAGGAACTGTCTGGAGAGGGACACTTGATGAGTTCAGGAGAGATGCTTTGACCTCTAGTTTAACAGGAGAGTGTTGTATGGTTGGTGCTGATGCTTCTGGGAAAGCCCAACTGGAATTGTATTTGCCAACCATTGTAGTACAGCTTGTGCTGGGAATGTATTACGGTTCTTCCTTCGTTCTACCTTCGACCCGCATGTGACTGTTCAGCTGTTATCACTGACAGAACCTAACCTAGAAGCCAGCTGGCAGTGCAGTCTAGGATATATAGTATGCAGATTCTTAGGCTTCACACCGTTGAATAGAACAGAAAATTGAGAGGCAGTAGGTAAATAATTGTACAGAGGAAGTAGCTTATCCTAATTTTCATTCAGTCATTTATCTGGACCAGTTGAATAAGACATTCTTAACACTCATGCATTTTAGGTAGGGATTGATTGATGATTGACTTGGGATACTAATAAATCAAGGAAAAACAACACCAGCAGCTTGCCCTTTGTTTTAGCCACTTTGTTATCACTGAGACATAATTCCTGACTGCTGCACCTTGCAGAAAAAGAAGTTTGTTTTGGCTCACAGTTTGTAGAGATTTCAGTTCATTCTCCTCTGGCTGCAAGGCAAGGGGCATGGCAGACAAGCATGGCAGAAAAGGGTTGCTCACAGTGTGACAGCCAGGAAGCAGAGAGCCAGCCAAGGGAGGAGGGAAGATAAACCCTTCAGGCCACACTCACAGTGACTTAGCTCTTCTGGCGAGATCTCACTTCCTAAGAGTAAGTCAGCTGTTATGGTTTGGGGGATATTTTTGCAAGGGGAACACAATATAATACAGGACACATATTTTTTAAGATTATTTATAGTAGTCACCCAAAGAATGATATACAAGAGTGCAGGAAATCTGTCCACCCACTATAGACCAAGAAATCTAGCTGAAGGCCTGGATCCCACAGAAATGTCCTTTGTGAGTCCAGCTGAATGCCTAGAGCTTATAACAGTGCCTCCCACGAATCCAGCTGGAGGTCCAGAGCCCATGACAACGTCTCATGCAGGCCTGTTTCACGGATCTGTGCTGGGAAGGCCCAAAGGTCAGTGGCGGACTCTAGAAAGTCTGTGCTAGCAGGCTGAGGGATCTGCACTGGAGCCAGGAAGCTATGCTCAGAACCAGAGCTCCCCGCTAAAGGTACCACAGCCATCTTCAGCAACAGTGAGGTCCTGAGCTCCTCTGATGATCAAGATGGCCAAGTTCCCATCAGGGAAGCCAGCACAGTAAGCTTCTCCATGAGATTGGCAGTGCACCGTCTTGCCGTCTGGAGCCAGGAGGCGATGCTCAAAGTGAGGACCAGAGCTCCTCCAAAGTGAACTGCAGCCATTCTCAGTGCCAACAAGGTCCCGAGCTCCTCGGAGGATGAAAGCAGCTAAGTTCATAAGGAAAGCCAGCATGACGAGCTCCTTACAGCTTCTACCAGCTCCCAACAGCCTCTCTCAGCTCCTAATATCCTCTTTAGTTCCCAAAAGCCTTCCTTCTTCTTCTCCGGGTCTGCCTCTTATGCTTCTGGCAACAGTCCCCAGGTGGGCCTCCCACACCCAGCACCACACTTACTCAGCTCAGCTGGGGGATATAAGTTGACCACCAGTTGTCAGTCAACTACCGTCAGCCATAAACTCATCAGGGGATTAATTTGCTGATGTCTGTCATGTACCCATGATCCCATCATCTTCCAAAAGCCCCACCTGTGAGTGCATGAGGCTTTGGGGCAACATTAGATATAAACCATAACACCTTCATAATCTGCTTCACCTTTGGTCTGAAGGGATACATTATGGTCTAACCATATGGATATAATCGGCAATAGGTACAGACTGTGGTAGTACATGTTTTGATACCATAGCTTGACTTCTCATGTTGTATGTTTTCTTCCTTCCCCACTTTATTTGCTTGGGGAAGCTGAGGAATTTATAGGATCTGAACACATTTTAGAAATAAGCAGCTATTTATTTTGACAGCTCTGCTCTATGGCCATGATTTATTTTTCCTTATTGCCTAATCAAGAGCAAGGGCATATTCTTCCATGATAACTGCTTCAGAAGCTTTCTTCTTACTGGAGCTGTTACTACTGAGAATGGGTGTTTACTTTCTGTGGCTTAACACATTCTTTCCAGAATAGCGAAGTATAGCAATACCTAAAACTGATACCTTAACCTTTTAATTTAATGTAAATTAAACTAATTTAATTTAGTCACCAAGAAGACATTAAGATATGCTAAAACTTGTATTGTGAAGCTATCCTTTTTTCATAAAAATTTTCTTTTCTATAACTTACTCTCAATGACCAAAAAATTTCAATTTGATAAGACCTTTGAAAAGAGAATATGATTAAAAGGAAATTTCTGCAAAAACTCAGAAGAACTAATTTAAAGTTTCAGATGTAGTGCTAACCCGATATGTTGCTTGGGCAAATCATTTAACCTTTCGAATTTCCATTTTTGATGTGGAGGTACTATGTGTTTAGTCATGCATGCGGACTTTCTGTGTGTCTTAGAGGTGGAATATCTTAGAGTTTTTCTTCCCCCAAGCCCCTTGTTTAAGAAAATAGCCAAATTCTTATTATATGTATTTATTTTATGTTTTGGATTACATCAACAATCCTGTAGAATTTATACATGTATGCTGGGCTCTTTCACTGAAAGGAAGATGAACAAATGTATGCTCTTATATTTTTAAAAATTCAGTTAACAAGTCTGCATGTTTTTGGGAGACGTGTCCAGGGAAATATAGGAGGGGAAGTAGAGACACATATCCTTTTGAAAAGCAAGTCTTGTTTAATTTTGATTTTTTCCATAACATTTTTTTCCATAGCAGTTAATATACTCTAAAAGTTTGAATTTAAACAAAATTTCATTTAGAAAAATCTTTGCTTTTGGATGCCATTATTTCAATATAGATTTAAGGTTCGTGACTTATTAGAAAACAAATCCCAAACCTGTGACTTAAGTTTGTACTTCTAGCTTGAGGGAAGGGAGAAAAGAATAAATCCACAGGAAGCAGAAAATAAGAAATTAATAACAGAAAATAAATAAAATTGAGAAAAGAAAATCAATAGAGAAAGTCAGTCAGTGTTTCAGTTTCAATCTAAAATGACCCCCCGAGCCTCCTGTGTGTGGAAGGGGATTGGATGATGGGGCATTATAGCTGACTCCCTCTTTGGAGGTGTGGGACCTGTTTGGAAGAGGCAGCTCACTGGAGCATCACCTGGAGGGTGTGTCTCCCTTTCTGGTTTTCTCTTCATTCTCTCTGCTTC